CAGACAACACCCGTGCCAGCGGTGGTGGGGGGGGGGGGGCCACCTCCGCCCAAACACTAGATACGTCTTCTACCCACACTCCAATGCCAGAAAGGCACAACTATTCCCCCATTTTCTGCTAAGTTCATATATGAATGATGTATAATTGTGTCGGTTCATACCATTAAACATAATTATAGAAATGATCATCAATTCTTCATCATCATCTATCAAAATTAAACATAAAAGATGGTGGAGTTACTTTTTAGTTTTTACACATTCAAATACAAATGGAAAAAAGAATTGATCAATTTACTTATATTTATATATATAAAAAATAATAAAATAAAATAATTAGCTAACAATTTACTCTTTTTTTTTTTTTTTTTTTTAATAATAATTCAAGAATGTAAGAGGCGCCGCCGTCGCTGTGAACCAACTCCGATGGTGTCCCTCTCGAATTTCTTGACCGTCGGTGCGAGTTTCTTCATATTGTCGTCGTACACGTAGGGGATCTTGTCGAGGTATGTTGTGGCCTTCTTGGCCGACATCGGAAGCATATTCCGGCATAGCTCCTCGTGGACGGTGATCGTGCTGTGGTAGTGGTAGTACCTTATTCTTGACTCTGTGTCGTGTAATGTTCCGCCGACGACATTCTCCGACATGTGCACCCCCGTCGCGTACGCGTTCCTCGCCTGAATTGCGTATTTCCGATCTCTCCTTATCTTCGTTCTCGAATCCCTAAACACCATCTTCTCGAATCCCCATTGCCTGTCCTCATTCAAAATTAATTATCCCCCAATTATTACCGGTAATAATATTGCTATTGCAATTGCAATTGCAATTAAGGTGAATTAAGGTTTACCTGGAGTAATCCTGGGTTGAATCGTTCAAGCAGAGGACGCTGGATATGGCGTTTTGCTCAATTGTGAACTGCGTGTTGTTGGAGAAGTCGTGGAGGACTGATTCCAGAGAGTCTCCATCGGGGATGTATATATACTCGTCCACATCGAAATAGAATGTCCAGTTGGCGGAATGTCGGTGCCGGTGGAGGCAATCGTTCACCACCAGAAACTGGTTGTAGTAGTACCCGTCGAACTCCGCCTGAGCCCTAATGTCCTGCAGCGTCACCCTCCCACCTCTTATCCACGGCTCCAGCACCGCCTTCACCTCCGCCGACACCCCGCCGGCGTCGTGGAATACGAAGTGTGAGCTGGCGCCGAAGAACCACGCGTGGTACGCCACCCACTCCCTCATCCTGGCGGCGCTCAGGTTCCCGTACAGGGAGGAGCCGCAGTAGAGATACTCGTATTTATACGGCGGCGCGTACTTGGACTCGTCGTATGAGCCGGCCGCCTCCTCTAGGGCGGTGAACTTCTCGTACTTGCGCGGGGACTCGCCGTAGTAGGCGTACACCATCAGCTTGCCGCCGCTGTTGTCGGCGTTGGGATTCTCCGTGAACGTGCAATTGACGACGACGACTGTGTAGACGCGGCCGTACCCCCAATCGGGGAGAATTTTGTAGGCCTTTGACCTAATTGAGGAATTGCCGTTGTTTGGGATCCATTCGCACTTGTACCACGGGCGGCTGAAAACGTGGAGGGGTTTCGAGGCGAGACCGACCACCGCGAATGTGGTCGGACCGCCGCGGTAGGCCCCCATCTGGACGAAGAGAGCGGCGGCGCTGCCGAATGATTGGAAGATGCGCTTGTTAGGGTCGGCGGGAGGGCTGCTAACCAGCTTCTTCTCTGTAAGAGGGGCGACGCCTCCACCGCCAACAATGCTGCTAGCAGATTTAATGGGGAGAGATTCAACGGCGGAGCAACGGGAGGTGGCGGAGAGGATGGTCTGGTAGTAGGGCTGGAGATTCCAAACCAGAGTAACAAGGGTTAGGGCTAGCAATGTGACGAGGAAGGACTTGGTCTCGAAGCAGAGGAAGATCTTTGCGACGGGGTTGACGGCGGCGGTGGGCGGCGCTCCGTCCTTCCTCATTACACCGACAACGGGAGGTTTTCCAATGACTGACCACTCCTCTGCTTTACAAATTGACCGACCCACACCTTTTTCTCTCTCTCTGTGTGTGTGTGTGTGTGATGGTGAATTTCTGGTATTTATTTATTCCGCTTTTCTCTTTGCCTTTTGCCTCCTACAGAGTACAGTGAGTTATTTATATCTTCTCAACTATGCCCCTTGATCTTTTCTTATTTACACAAATGCTCCTTGCCTGCATGATTGGCTGATTTATCTCAAATCTCAATACTAATTTTGAATTCTCTTTTATATTCACTTTAATATTTAATATGTGTATATCATATAAGCACTTGATATATATTATATATATTTGTACAAGATAGATATATGAATTAAATTAAAGTAAAAGATCCATCCCAACACTATCACCATACCTAGTAAATGCAATTAAACAATTAATTTTATCCTACATTAAACAAATTTAAATTAATGCATCCAGGTCACACCAAAATAAAATAAAAGAACTTGAGAAGAACAGATCAAGTCATAAATGAATTGTCATGATAGTATATAATAAAAGAGGAATTAAATAAATAATAGAGTATGAAAATAAAAATTAGTTATGAAGAAGAAGCAAATCGTGAGAAAAATGAAAAATTATGTTTGAAGAGCAATTTTGCCAAATAAAACATACAAGGTGGCAATCATTAATATAGAGTGTGACATCCCTAAATAGAATCAATAAATTTTGTTATTAACTGTCAATTAGTTGCTATAGTTGATGATTGTAACACATGTTTAAATAACTATTTACATACTAGTGTTCTATATATATGCTTATGTGAAATTGGATAATAAAAGTGCACCTAAGCCACGTAACAGTTGTTTGAATTTGATTGTATAAGCAATTGGTCCAGATCAAATGAACTTTAATTTAACTTGACAAAAATTTGGCTCGAGTAGCTTGATATTTCGTAAAAGAAAAAAAAAATGAAATCCTATCAAGCTCGAGCCAAACTTCATAATCGCTGCTTATCGGAAAAAAATGTGTCTTGTAATAAGGTTCGTTATGTTAACGAATTGAACTCAAACGAGCTTTTTACGAATAATCTCGATAGAGTATTGAATAATTTGATTTAATTTTCAAACGGCAGGTAATAATGCTTAATCTTGGTGATAAAATTTAGAATTTTTTTTTGGAAGAAATGAAACAAGTATACTTTATTGTCTTAGATTTGTGTATGGTGAATATATTCACGAGTATGTATAATGTATATGATTCCTTCAATTATGACAATTATATATATCTGTCAAAAATAAATTATGAGAATAATAATTATGTGTTTAACAAAATTAAATGATAACAATAATAATGGGACAAAAAAAATAAAAACAATTTGATATGATAATTAATTGACACGGAATGGTAGGTACAAAGGCCAGAAACTTCTTGTTTGTCATTTCTCATATGCTCTTATTATTTCTTTAATTTATCATTTATTTTTTTTAGTGCTTATTATTAGTATTATAATAATTAGTATTGGTAATACAATTAGTATTATGATAATTATTATTATATTTATTTCCAATAATAGTTGGCATCCTCACAAAATTGCTCTGTATATGTACCGCTAATTGTATGTTATGTAGTGGGTGTCATTTCATATGTAAGAAGACATTTATTATTTATTATAAAAGAAATAGTATATGTAAAATGACCTTTTCTGCAGTTTAAATAGTTACATCATGTGTCACACCAAAATTAAAATTTATATAGTAGCTACAATTTTTATTGTCAATTAAAAAAAAAAAAAGATTTGAAATATATTTGATCATAGAAGCAAGTGGAAGATCAAAAATAATTATCATTTATTATGCTGACCAACTCCATAATTGGAATGAAGGAAGCAAATCATTGACTCCTACAATTCAATCCAATACTAGTTTAGTTAGTCTACAACAAAATGAATTCAATAAGGTAAATTAGGTACGATATTTACTATATTGTCCTTATGCATACATACATACATACATACATACCTTTTCATTAATAATTGAGTATTTGTAATTATATTAAATTAATTGGCACAGTGGATAGGGCTTTCAAATTGATAAGCACAACTTAGCAAAGCCCAAAAGGCCCATTTCGTAATGTCTTGTTGTTAATACAATATTACTAACTGAAATGCTAAATCTCACACTAGATTTACTAAATCATGCACACAACTCAAAAAAGAAAAATTAAAATCTTCTCTTCTTCTTCTCCACCCATCTTTTCCCCTAACTTTTTCACAAAATCACACACTAAAAACGTTCTTAGCATTCCAAGTTCGAATTTGAGAACAACTTCACGTGTTCAAAAGTTGGAATTGAATAAATATTAAATAAAATTGAACTCGCTTTTTATTACAATTCACGTAAAAATTTAATGAATAATGTATCGAAATGTTTGTTTCCGCCACTAGCTAAAAGTAATAGTCCGTTAGAACCCTATCCGAATAATGTATCGAAATGCATTATTCCATTAGAATTTCTAACTACGTTTCGGGGGGGGGGGTTGAGTGTAATTATCGATACCTTAAAGTTATTTAAGCATACATCAGGAGTGTGGGAGTAATTTACCCATTATATAATAGTTGAAGATGCTTTTAGGAATTTCACCTTTTTCAAAATCAAAAAAAAAAAATACATTTTATTCCTAAAGTTTATAAAATTTGTAGACATGTACTCGATGTTATTGTCAAGTATATAATAGAAACAAATATCACCTCTTCAAAAAGAGAAAAACATAGAAGAATTGAAATATGGATATAGTTTCAAAAATATATAAGGTCTTATTATTTAAATTAAGACATCTACTCGATGTTAGTTAATATATATTTAAAAAAAACGAATATCTCATCTAATAAATATATAAGGAATTAAATAAATATAGTGTTAAGTTATTTATAAACATGTAAAGGACATTATTTCATATGTTTTCATAAGTTAACGGAGTCGGATTTTAGTCACATAATATACAAATTATATACAACAAAAAGTATATACAAATTTTAAGAAATTTATTGTTCTTTATTAAAGAAATCGAAATTTTTGAATTTTCACACAGCATATTGAACCGGTTTATTAAAAAATAATAAATGTGATGATTAAATAAAGCAACTCCGATGGCTTGGGAGATATCAAAATGGACGATCAAACACTTAATTGATACTTATTATTCCAACCAGTAGGTATCAAATAAATTATTATCCCTTTTTGGTTGTAATATGTTGATATGTTTTTTTTTTTCACGTTGAAATTGCATGAGCAATTTTAATGAAAATTTGATTCCATTTTTTTTTTGTGCATTTTTGCACCTCAATACGATGGAAGT